GGTGGGTGTTGAGAATGTGAATCGATTATCATAAAGACTCTCCAATGGAAAGAGAGAAAGAACAAAAAAAGTGCGGGATGTAAAGGGGGGGGGGGTAATACAGATTGAGCTGGATAAGTCTTTACATGTGATGAAATGGTGAGACAGTGGCAATAGTGAGACGAAACCCATATCATAATAGGCTTAATAATGGTGAAGTAATGGTGTTAAGTGAAAATGTTGTTGGGAGTAGCGGATTCTATAAATGAGTGAGACTTGCAATAGTGAGACTTCTATCGGTGAGGCTGGGTGAGATATAAAACTTCTATCGGTGAGGCAGGCTGTGTGAGAACTAAATTCTACAGCGAGAATAATCGGGTTGGTGCAGTCATTGCGAATGAGTGTGAGTAAGTGTTGAATGGGAAGTAGTGAGACCAGATGTTGGGAATGGGAAGTAGTGAGACCAGATGTTTGAAAATATGAAAATGGAGACGACGAAAGATGTTTAAAGGTTGAGGATTGACAGTGAATTTATGGTGAGAATGGTAAAAAAAATGCTTTGGGTTACAAGTGAATCACAAGAAATTTGAACACAACATGAAACAGAGTCCTGACGAATGCTTGCTTTTGTAGCTGTCCGTGGTCGGCTGCAGAGCCTCATACTCACTAACGATTGTACGCCATATCCCTGAAGATACTACTCAGTCCCATTCCCTTAATTCAGTGGTAAGAAATCACGAATTCCATTCCACTATCAACCAACCCTGATCACGTCCACAATCAAACCTTGTGATATCCACCTTGAGATCCATTGACTGGAGATATCCCCAAGCAACGATGAAACAGCTCCACATTGTCTGAATGCCACAAGAACGGTCGAATAACTTGAGAGGAACACTAGTTACCTTTTTGTGGTACGCCCAGGAGATGGTAGTTATATCCACTGGCCCAAGGCTACACGACACTTATCAGTTGATAACCAGAGACACGTATCATGGAGAAATAAACAAAGGTCATTATGCTCGTGTTAGGGGGTGGCTAGCCATACCGAGGTAGATTTGAGAGGTTTCGTATAACATAACACAAGGAGAGAGCTATCAGTGCTCTATAGATTTAATCACTTAAGCCTAGGAGACGCAGGCGTAATTTCGGAGCAATTACAGAGGTGACATATTCTCTTGAAATAACAAAGACACGTGGCGCTGCAAGGTCATTCCGTTTGAGAACCGCCATTGATGTTCGAAGTAGACGTTGCTGAGGCCTTTCGCGGCCTTTTGTCGGTTTAAAAACGTAAGACTACCGTCGTTGGTTAAGACGTGTACTGGCCTCTTAGACTGAACAGCAGTGACGTCATTTCATCCTCACTGAGGAGAGGTGTGTTCAAGTCCAGAGACAGGCTGTCGAGGTCACTAGGTTCATTGAACGCCGAGCTTAGCCGAAAATTCCTGACGCTGGCCGTGTAGCTCGGGGGGAGACCCAAGTTGCGGACGAGGATGGTTCCACCGTGGGAGCCGCTGCTGGTGTTGTTGTTGTTGAAGTCGCTTTCGTTATTGTTGGCGTCGATGGTGGCGCGGTTATTGTTGCGATCTATGGCGAGCGCGACGTTTGACTTGTGTACCGAGGTCGCGGACATGTAGGTCAAGACAAAGTCCGTCAGCTCGTTTGTGGCCTGCGACCTCGAGTCGGCCAGGAGGTTCGCGTTGGCCGTTGTCAGGGCGATGAGATTCTGAGCATTCTGAATGTTCTTACTCGGGGTGGACAAGATGGCTGACAGCGATGGCATGGTGATGTGTCTCGGGGATGGTGTGGGGGCGGAGCTGCAAGAGGTCGGCGGAGCTACGGAAGCGGACGATGCTATAACGTGCGGGGGAGACGCCGGAGATAACTGCGTTTGGGCCGGCGAGTGGTGAGTGTCGTGGTTGTCGTCCAGCGGAGGTGTGTTGGCCGGAGTGTCGTACACGGAGGATGTGTTCTTGTGGAGGTCGCTGGTGTCCGCGTCACGAGCTGATTCCCGGGCGTCGTGGTGGCTCAGTTCTTCAAACATGTCGTTCATGCCTGGACTGTCCACCTCCAGGGGGCTTAACTGACCAAATGCGGTCTGGACTTCACCACGAGACGTAGGGTACATTGAGCCCTTAGAGAGCCTGTCATTCAAAAGTTTAAGACTCAGCATGTTTTTGATGGCCGGCTTTGACGGAGACATTGCCGGATGGGACGTTTCCGGTTCTGCCGTGGTCGCTGTCGTGGATGGCTCAGAGTTTGACTTGGGCGTCTCAGACGTTGTGATATTTGACGTGACAGCTGACGTGACATTTGACGTGACCGTCGACATCTGGAGTTTCTTCGGTCGACCAACTCTGGTCGCCGGCCTTCTCTTAAAGAGATTCGCATCCTCGGACTGTTTCAGCTTTTCCCGCTTCACCGAAGCTCGCATTTTCGCCTTGGTCAGCGACAGCTCCTGCTTCTCTTTGGCCTTCTGCACTTTTGTTTTAGGCTTGTACTTGTATTCGGGGAACTCCACGTTGTGAAATCGCCTCAGCTTCACCTTCTCGTCCTCGAACTTCTTCTTAAACGCCTCGCTCTTCTGTCGCCAGTAGAAACCCAGCGCCTCGCTGATGATGGCGTTCTGCATCTTCGGACAGAGTTCGTTGATCAGCCTGCGGGCGCCCTGCGCCCATATCATGAAGGCGTTCATGGGCCGAGGAGGCTTGTCCCTACAGGACACTTTTTTACAGTCGGCGACGATGGTGTAGCAGCAAGGAATATCCTCCGGGCTGACGCACTCCCAGCGGTAACGCTGTGGTATATTTTGTACGATTTTTGCGCAGGCTCTCGCGGAGTCCGCACTCCTTTTGTCGAAATTCACGACGTTGTCCACCGTGTACTCCCGGCAATCGCTTTTGGAAAGAATGTAAGAGATCTTTTCCCGTTGGCTCAAGTTTGAGCTGGGAACGAAAGCGATCTTTTCGAACTGCTCCTCAACAAAATGCCTCGCCTCGGCTTCTGACATTCTTAGCTTTTCGGACCCACCGAACCTGCTCTCCGGCGAGGTCCCTCTAACGAGTTCCTCGTACTCCGGATCGTGGATCTCCTCTTTGATATCGACGGTGGCGCCGCCACCTATGTCAATGTCCTCCATTTCGATGTCCTCGCTATCCCCGTCGCCCGACACCGGGCACGGCGACGAGAAACTGTCCTCCTCCTCTTTGATGGAGGCCGCCCTCTTTCGGTCGTTCGGCCAGAAGTCGTTGAAGGAAGTGTTCTGCTCGGGGCTGAGAAGGCCCTCCACCGACAAGGTGAAGGGATTCGACGAGCACGGCAACATGACGGGAGACGGCAAAGGGCTCGGGGAATCCGTGGCCCTGCTCAGAAACTTGATCCACTCGTCGTTGTTGAAGCTGGACAACATGGGGTCGTGACCGTTATTCATTGCTGACATTTAACGCCAGGACCAAATTCAATATACTTATATATTTTTTTTAAACAGCAAAAGGGTATTTCAACTTTTTTTTTATGTAGGTCACTAGGTCAGTAAAATGAAAGTTTTCCTGGTGTCCGTTCAGTTGTGAAAGTTGGCAGCCGCGAGCGTTGGAAGACTCCTGGCAACAACCGTGGCCAGAAATTTGCCCTTGTGTCCAGACGGCTCCTCACTCAGATAAGGCATCATTGCAGACGGCTGCAATGAAAGAAATGCAAAGCGGGCCTTTACCTATGGGCAAGTTATATATACAAAGTTAATCTTATTTAGTTTTTATCGACACTCGGGCCAATATCCCCCTCCCCACCCCACTACAACATCAATTTCTGCTGCTCATTAACAATCGTAGCCTATATTAATCATGTATTTTAACACTAATAACTCATCACATGTTGTTTTTTTTTTACAAACAATTTAAAAAAAAAATATTTTATTTTTTAAAATAAAAACAACACTATATTATCTGAGTCTTAACGGAGTAGAAGTTGTTTAAATTTTAAATGAATAAATCTGCCCCCTTGCCTAAGGTAAAGATTGAGAACTACTGATTTATATAACTACAGAAAAAAAAATGGCGGTGAAGCTCTACTGCTCTGGGATAAAGTACGCATCCTTAAGAACATCCAGTATGCAAAGCTTCAAATAGCTTTTAAATATTGCCAATAGGATACATAGGCGTAACTAGAGTGTTTAACGCACGGGAACAAAATTAAATTTTATCCCCCACCCCCCCACCCAAAAAAAAAAAAATTAAAAAAAATTCATCCCTGAAACCCATTTTATTTACCAACTTAATTCCATCAAAGCCCATTTTGGCCCCTCTGAATATTCCGGTGCCGCCAACCCCCCCCCCCCAACCCACTTAGCTACACATCTGATTTGGTAACCCATTTCGGAGTAAAATGATGATGAATAGTAAATCAATTACGCTTTTACACTAATCCATCATTTCGGCTTCCCCGCCATCCACACAAGGAGAGAGAGAGCAATAGAGAGAGAAGAAAGAGATAGACTACTATAATCTCCAGCATTAAACAATTCAGATGAATATGTTGAAAGATTTATTTTTTTTTTTTGAAACTGAGTCCAACCCGTCCCTCCCTGTTAATATTCTCATGTAAAATCAACTGTCGAATTTTATAACAAGCAAAGAAATAGACCAAAAGTCGCGCTCAGGCCAAGTTGTTTACCCATCACCTAACAATGAAAAACACTTACCTGTCTAGTTTCTGTTTGAACGTTACGGAAAGTAACAGTTAGGTCGTAGTCCAAAACAACAAACGAACATAGCAAGAAATTTACCGATGTGGGCCAAGTATCCAAGAGTCAAGAACAATGAAAACACAGTGATACACAACTCTGGTTTATGTTATATCGGTGCGCCGTGTCATTTATTTTATTATTAAAAACCATCCAACAGTCCGAATTAACATGGTTATAATTATTATATCACAACAACACTCCTAGTCACTATGATTGTGTAATTTTGTCTCATTAGGAAATGTAGCAAATAAAATTATAATAAGGTTATATCTTTATTGCATGAGGTATATTCATCGCTATACACATTTTAAAAAAAATTCAGTTTATATGCTGGTGAAAACTTGATTGAAAAATGCCAGTTTAAAAAAATCAATGATGATATGGTACAGTACGCACAAGTTTATAAAAGTGTAGTCCTTGGAGCGATCACATCATTTAATGTTTGACATCAGCTGAGTTTTGTGAGTCTGAGCCAAACTGGCAGACTTCGTAGTGAAATAAATGAGAGAGGAAGCGCTTGGACCAATCAGCTGCGTCGCGATGTAAACATTGCCGGAGGTGAGGCTCTGATTGGGAGAAATGAGGTAATGAATGTGGGTTTTTTTTTAAAAATAAAATAAAAAGGTTGGTCCATTAAAGATTTTATTATAAATGCATACATATAACATGTAAAATGAATTGTTATTGGCATAATTAAAAAATAAGACAATGCAATTGTCCTTTCCAATCTTTTTTGTGCACCCGCGATGTCATAAATCTAAGAAGGCTAGAGTTTTTAAATTTTACTAGTAACTCTCTTCAGCCGTATGAGACTTAATGCATTTCTTTATTCCCCGGCAGAGCCTCAAACAAGTCTCTACGCGTGAGAAAGTACGATTGGACTTTACACATTGATATGTGCGCCTGTGTACTAAAAATGCTCGGCGAACTATATTAAATATATAACTTATTAAAAAATAAACAAAGATAATGAACATAAAGCAGTGTCCAATTTGTTCTATTGCTGTTAAGATTATTTATGTTTTTTAAAAAATGGAATTAGATAATAAGATTGTCTACCTTTGAATCCCCATAATATAGGCCTAACTAAGGACTGTATGGTAGCCTATTAATAATTATACCAACTAGTAGGGTTTCTTTCAGCTATATCTCGGGGGTTGGGGGGGGGAGCCATGTGCCCCCCCCCCCCGGGGCAAAAATATGTCCAACAATAAACCAACTGGCACTGCCCCCCCCTCCCGAAAAATCCG